AGCCTTGGAGCTCTCTCTCATTCCTAAGAATATCACAGACTTGGGGCTGCAGAGCCTTTGCCTGCTTTGGCCTGTGGGCTGACGTGAACGGGGCTGGGCTCCGTGGCTGCTGCTCTAACAGCCTCAGGAGGGTGCTGGTGACCTTTAACAAACATGGACACTTGTGAGATGATGTCACCACTGAATGCTTCTCTCAACTCCCATCCCACTACCCAGGCCAACGTGCCTTCCCGAGGCAGAGCAGGGCACTGCAGAGACCAGGCAGCAATTGTTGAATGAACAGAAGCTGTGAAGGCTCCGAAGAAGCAGCTGCTGCCATTGGGTTCTTCCTGATGCCAGGCCCTGGGGCTTGCTCATTGGCTTCTCATGGCAGCCCTTCCTGGGAGTGGGGGAACCATCATCAGACAGAGTCTCTATCCCTGGGGGGAATGATGCGCATGGAATTAGAGCAAAGCGGCAGCCCACTTCACCCAGAGCACCAGCCAGCGGCCTTCCAGTCTGCTGTGATGATGGAGGAAGTGGGCTTGGAAGTCACAGAGGCCTGGGTTTGACCACAATGATTCAATACATCCATTTACCCATCTACTCATCCATGCATTCATCCTCCATCCATCCTTCCATGTGCCCACCCACCGACCCATCCACCCACCCACCTAACCACCCACCCACCCACTCTCCCATCCATCCATCCATCCATCCATCCATCCATCCATCCATCCATCCATCCACCCACCCATCCACCTACCCACCTACTCTCTCATCTACCCACCCATCCACCCACCCACCCATCCAGCCATCCACCCACTCTCCCATCCATTCATCCATCCACCCACCCATCTACCCACCCATCCACCGACACACCCATCTACCTATTCACCTACCAATCCACCCATCCACCCACCTACCTACCCACCCTCCCATCCATCCACACACCCATCCACTCACTCATCCATACACCCACCTACCCATTTACCCACACATCCAGACACCCGCCCACACACTCACACACCTATCTACCTATCCATCCACCCACACCCTCCCACCCACCCATCCGCCACCTACCCATCCACCCACCTACCCACCCACCCTCCAATCCATCCATCCATCCGCCCACCCACCCATTCACCCACACACCCACTCACCTACCCATCCACCTACCTCTCTGTCCATCCACTCATTTCTGTATTGCCATCTTCCCTCTCTCCCTTCCTTCCTTCTCCTTTCTCCCTCCCTACCTCCCTCTCTACCTTCCTTCTTTCCTCCCGTCCTTCTGCATATTTTCCCTCAGTATTTCTACTCCCTTGTCTCTTCCCCAGGTGTCACCTTCCTGACCAAAGAGAAGCTGTCCTCTAGCAAGCTCCATATCCACCCCCAGGTGTACTTCCAAGGCCACACCTTCCCAACTTCTCCGAGTCCCTCCCCACTGCTGAATCTGATCCTGTGGCTTTGAGCAATTCATTTTCTTTCTCTGGGATTCAGATTCCTCATCTATAAAATCTATAGACTTTATAGATGAGACCGGGGAGATTGTACAGGGGTTAGGGCACTTGCCTTGCACACTGCCGAACCCAGTTCAATGCCCAGAACTGCTTATGGTTCCCCAAGCTCTACTAAGAGTTGCTCCTGAGCACAGAACCAGGAGGAAGCCCCAAGCACTGCTGGAAATGGCCTGATCCCTCTTGTCCCCCGAAGTCGAGATTGCTTCAGATCCCTTAAACTTTGCAATTCCAAGGGTCAGATTGTATGGTCACCTGAGTATATTGACTTGGCACAGAGGTTCCAGTCATAAGTGCTACCCAGCCCAATGCCTGGGCTTCTGAGCTGACACCGACACTCTGCATCCTGCAGACCCAGCAGCACAGGAGGTCCCAGGGCTGCTTCCTGCCTGCGGGATGTCTTCGGCAGGAGGAAACAGCCAGTATTGAGCTGACGTCTATAGTTTCCATGCTACTGCCTGAGCATCCTCCCCTGACTTTGTTGTTGAGTCCTCCCCGTTTGAAACTATGCGTTCTCCCCCTTGACCCTTTCTCCTGTTGCTGAACAGAGTGACTGCTCCTCAGGCCACTAGTGGGGAAAAGTGGCCTCTAGTGGGTCAGCATCCAGATGCATCCTGCACACTTGCAGGAAGCCCATGGGTGGGCCTGTATTGTGACCTGAAGCGTGGTGAGTCCCCTAAAATGTACAGATGCTCTGTGGGCAGGCCCAGTGACCAACTGGCCACAGATTGAGGCTCTGTGCCAAGGCAGTCTGTTGATTGTGAGTCCAAGAAGATCCCCACCCTTCTCCCCAGCTCTGGTTCTTTTGTTTTTGGGCCATACCACATACCTGCAGTGTTAAAGGGCCATCGTGGTGGTGCTCAGAGGACTGTGAATGGAGCATCACAGCATAGCTGGCCACATAGAAGGCAGGCACCCCAACTTCCATACTCCCCACCCTCCCAGCTCTGGTTCTTAATGAAACTCTTGCATGCTGTAGGGAGTACTGGGGTCCAGGAGAGCAGCCTTTACTGTGTCTTGTCTTCTCTGTTTTCCTGCCTGGGGAAGGGACCAGCTGAGCCAGATGGATGGGGGCCTGTTCTGGGGGAGCCAGGTGAGAACACTGGTTGCCACACGCATGTGTCCTAGAGGCACCATTTTGAGGGTATCACGAGCAATGCAACAGCCCAGGAGAAGCTGAGGCTGGCGCACAAAATGCCTCCTGGAAGGACCCTCCAGGATCCAAAGAGGCATTGGAGTGTTCTACATAGAAAGCACTTTCTTTTCCTCTGGGGAATACTTGTGTCTGCCAGGCTGGCTTGGCACTGGTTGCCCTGAACAGGTGTCTGCCTATTACTGAGGCCGGTGGTGGGCAGCTCTCTCTCTCTCTCTCTCTCTCTCTCTCTCTCTCTCTCTCTGTGTGTGTGTGTGTGTGTGTGTGTGTGTGTGTGTGTGTGTAATCACTATAGACCCCACTGCCCTCATTAGGTGAGGAGTCAGGGAGGCATTACCTGCCAATATGGGCCATCACCTTCCCCACCTGCCATGAGGACACTCCCCCCACTCTGCTGGCTTCCAGCTTTAGCTAAAATCCGTGGGATGGATATGGCTAGCCAGATCCTCTTTGAGGCTACTCTTGGCTGGAGTCAGGGATCAGGGCAGCAGGAAGGACCAGTCCCCACATGCTTCTGTGGCTCATCCCTGGTGCTCAGGTGGCATAAAGAGCAGATGGGGATACAGCTTTCAGAAACAGCACCTTCCCTTTGGAACAGAATTGCAGAGCCCGGTAATTTACATCCCTAGAAAGAGGCGGGCAATTATGGGCAGGTTGTGTGGAGTTCATTTTCAATCCTCCAACCACCCCTTAATGAGAAGGTGCTTTGAATCGTGGCGGAGTGTTGGGAGCCCTAAAAGGCCTTCTTGTCTCAGGAGCTGGTTCCTGTGAGGGAAGGCAGGAGAGACAGATGAGCACTGGCAGGAGCAGCAGGCTTTGGCCGCCTGCGCCTCGTGTTGTGCAGACATTATCTGCTGTAAAACTGTCACTGAAGGATGGAACGCTGACTCTTGGCTGCGGTGGCCCTCAGATAATGTCAGTGCTGAGCAATGGCCCAGGATTTGTTGGCACCAAGCAAACACACCCTGTGCTCCAGTGCCAGAATCCTTAGCTGAGCCTGCTCTCCACTGCAACCCAGGAGGTGAAGGGACCCAGGGATCGGTGTCCAGGCCCCCTTTGGTGGAAAATCGAAAGCTTCCTCAACCGACCTTCAAATGTGAATGTTCCTTTGACTCACCTGGGGAGCCTGTAAAGGTGCTGAGAATGACTCAGTCGGTTGGAACGTGACTGAGATTCTAACAGCTCCTTGGAAAGCTACTGGCCCTTGAGCTGCATTTTGTCTTGTCTGGTGCCAGAGCTGGAACCCAGGTCCCATGCATGATGGAGTGTGCTTTACTGCTGAGCTGCATCCCCACTGGTCCTTGAACTGCAGGTTGGTTTGTTTTTTCTTTTTGGGTCACACCCGGCAACGCACAGGGGTTACTCCTGGCTTTACACTCAGGAACTACTCCTGGTGGTGCTTGGGGGACCAGATGGGATGCTGGGAATCGAACCCGGGTTGGTCGTGTGCAAGACAAATGCCCTACCCACTGTTCTATGACTCCAGTCCCTGAACTGCAGGTCTTTTTTGTTTGTTTGTTTTTTGTTTTGTTGGGCATGGGGTAGGGCTACACCCAACTGTGCTCAGGCATCACTCCTGGTGGTACGGGAGGGATCATATGTAGTGTTGGAATTGAACCGGAGTTAGCCACATGCCAGACGGATACCTAAATCTCGAGGCTATCTCTTTGGCTTACAAACTGCATTTTTAACAGAAAGGCCCGAGAGAAGGTGGACACGGGCCTCCTCTGAGTCCCCCCAGGTGATTCTGACTCAACAGAACACAAAAGAGTTAGCCACAGCCTGAGTGGACCTGGCAAGGAAAGGCTTCAAAGACTGTCCGATCGTCTGGAACATTCTAGAACAATCTAAAGTAGGGGATGCTGCCCACTGGGAGGATCTAAAATGATGAGGAGAGTGTTAGCTTCAGTTGCAACTGGAGGTGTTTCCTCTTCGTTTGTTAAAGAATGTAGGCTTCTAGAGGGGACTCGGTGGTTTATTTTCTGATAAGGGAATGGTAGGCCCCATGAGTTGGGGCCCTCTGCTCTAGGCCCTGCAGCCCTGTGGGGAGCAGGCCTCAGGACAACCCTTTGAGTTTGGCATCTTATTTGACCTCTTCTGTCTCATTGGGTTTCCCTTCACCGTGATGCTCAGGGAAGGCCGGGGGACTGGGGGACAATATTCCAATATTCCAGTATTGTTCTACAACAGACTACAGTACAATATTCCAGCCATGGGTCAGTGCTTGGCAGCAGCAGGGATGGGGTGGAGAGGGGCTGGGGTGGTGATCGACACGGATCTGGGGTGTGTCCCCCGGGATCCCCCGCATCTCTGCTGTGGCAGCTAAGTCTCTGTTGCTCCCCCCTTGGCAGATCCCTGGATGAGAAGCAGCTGACCCCAGCTGAGCCCCACCTTCTCTGCGTGCTGGGCAGCCGGGCGCTGCCACCCAGGTGGCCCCAATGCCGAAGAACAGCAAGGTGACCCAGCGTGAGCACAGCAACGAGCATGTCACGGAGTCGGTGGCCGACCTGCTGGCCCTGGAGGAGCCCGTGGACTACAAGCAGAGCGTCCTGAACATGGCGGGCGAGGGGGGTGGTAAGCAGAAGGCAGCGGACGAGGAGCTGGACGCTGAGGACCGGCCGGCTTGGAATAGCAAGCTGCAGTACATCCTGGCCCAGATCGGCTTCTCGGTGGGCCTCGGCAACATCTGGAGGTTCCCCTACCTGTGCCAGAAAAATGGAGGAGGTAAGAGGCAGCCGGCTCACCCCAAGGGATGCCCTACCCTCACTAGGTTGGGCGGAGGGGTGTAAGCGGACCCCCGAACTTCCACTTTTGCTGAAGTAGAAATGGAACTAGGTAAGTTAAGCTTAGGATCCAGAAGGCTCCCCAGGAAGAGTTACTCACTCCAGTCACCTAGGGCCTGGGTTGTGGCCCTGCAATACTTGGTTCAAAACCCTCACCCTTTGCCGAGTGCTCTTAGCCTCGCTGTTCCTCATCTGTGAAATGGAAATAATCTTAGTAATGATCGGTCCCATCTCAGAAGAGTTGAGATTCAATGGAATTTTCATCTGGAATGCTTTACATAAACTCTGACTCAGGGAAGTACAACCGTTTAAATTTATTTTTGAAGGGGGAGTGTCTTTGGAGCAGTAGTTTGAGTACCCCGGGGACCCTTCCCAGCAATTCTCAGCCATCCAGGCTGGCAGTTCAGTGGGAACATTTGAGGGTGTTGGATGCTGTGTCAGGGGTCTTCAGATCACATCCAGTGACAGTCAGGGAACCATGTGGTATTGGGGTGGAGGCAGGGTCCATGCTAGTTTCTTAGCCCTGGCCATTATTATTATTACTATTATTATTAGTTTGGTTTTGAGTCCACAGACTCACTCATGGCTCTGTGCTCAGGGATCAGTCCCTGTAGTGCTCAGAGACATATGGTGCTGCAGATTGAACATGGTTGGCCGAATGCAAAGCCAACACCGTCACCCCGACACTGTCTCTCCAGTCCCAGATCCACTATTTTTTTAATACTTTTTAGGTACCAAGCACTATCCTGAGCTCTTACAAGATATTTGACTGAAATACACAAGACAGCAGATATTTGAGTCTTTTGAAACAACCAAAGCACCAGTTACATATGGTTCAACCATCAAACCCCTCCAGTGACCCTGTGTAAAGAAACGTCATTCTCATTTTAGAGTCTGAGATGCGAAGAAGTCAGGGAACTGTTTAAGGTCACACAGCGAATCATAAAAATCAGAATTCACACTGGAATACTCTGACTCCAGTGCCTGGATACCTTGTTACTACACTGACACCCATGTCCAGCTCACTTTTCAGTGGGAGGGCTCTCTTGCTGTCTGCTGAGTTCAGAATGTTCCAGAAGATCCTTGCCCCTGCTGTCACCCCTTCCACACACCACTTTCAGCATAGTAGAAGCCCCAACTACTCCCCATCCCCCCCACACCCACCCACCAGGACCTCCAAAGCAGATTGGAATATTACAAAGGTAACTTGCTTTGAAGCCAGAGCAAATGAACAGGACACAAATAGTGATAAGCCCACCAGGCTGAAAGCAATTACATCTGCAAGCGAGGCCTGCAGCCCTGCGGTCTCAAACCCATGGCAAGTTTCTGTCCCTCTCTGCCCCTATGCCGTGGGGCCACCTCCCTGCAGCCTGCTGGGGGCTCGTGGCACTGCTGCCTCTAACGCTAACAGCAGCGATGGCTGGGGTCTGCCCTCCTTTCTAGCCCCTGCTGAAGCTCAAAGCGTGAGAATGCCTGCCTGGCCCTGCAGTGCTGACTTCGCCAGAGGCTTCGTTTTTGCCATCACCACCCACTCTGCTCACCACATCCTGCCTGGCCTTGAGAGAGGTTCTTTATTTTTTCCTTTCCTTGTTTCCTTAATTTCCCCTCATTTCCAAATAAGTGCTAATGAGGCCGGGAATGTGGCTCAAGTGGCAGAGCATGTGCCTTGCATATGTCAAGAGCGTGATCCACCATACTGTATGGTCGATCATTTCTCCATTTTCTGATTCCACCCCTGAGCTCGATCCACCCTACTGTATGGTCCCCTGAGCATCGCCCTGGGGACCCCTAAGCACCACCATGAATGGCCCCGATACCCTTCCAAAATAACTACCAATCAGAATCTTAGGTTTGAATGTTATGTCCAGCACCATCACTGAGCTTATTTAAGATCAGTCCAACTAGAGGTTTTTTTGTTTGTTTGTTTGTTTTGCTTTTTGGGTCACACCCGGCAATGCACAGGGGTTCCTCCTGGCTCTGCGCTCAGGAATTACCCCTGGCGGTGCTCAGGGGACCATATTGGGTGCTGGGAATCGAACCCGGGTTGGCCGTGTGCAAGGCAAACGCCCTACCCGCTGTGCTATTGCTCCAGCCCCAGTTTGTTTGTTTTAAAGGCAGGGTGTTTTAAGACAGCACTGAGTTCTCTGTGCTATCTCGGGAACTCAGGGGTCCTGAGAATAGGGGATGCCAGGCACTAAGAGTTCTGTTGGGGTATCATGCACTGATTTCAAGCTCCTCCCAGAACCCTGGGCAGTGTTCCTGCCCATCTGCCCACCCCAGTGTTGCCCCGCTCTCTGCCCGGCCCCTGGCAGCTTGAACCCCCTGAAAGAGGGCTGCTCAGCAATCTCAGGGTTATGAGCTGGGTTCCATGTCTTGTCTTCATTTTTCCATTTTCTGATTCCACCCCCTACCTTTTATTTTTGTTTTGAGAGCACACTCAGCTGTGCTGAGAGGTTCCTCCTGGCTCAGTGCTCAGGGGCCAGTGCAGTGGCAGGAAGGAAGTCTAGAGCCAGGCCTGGCCCCTCTGATTCCTTTCCCTCATAGCCTCTCGCTGGCCTGGATTTCCTGTCAGGATGTTGGGGCTGAGGACAGCTTTAGTTTGAGCTGCGGGCACTCCAGTGGAACTTCAGGAACCACTAAGGGAAGCTCTGCCACTGGGCTTAGCTCTGGCACGTCAGGGCTGTCTCTGTCCTCTTCGTCCCCCTGACCCACCCAGGTTTGTTGTATGAGAGAGAGGAGCGTGTTCATCGAGTGTTATTATGGGTGAGAAATTCTTTGAGTCATTGCCATGGTCCTGTGCCAGTGACATACAGTTGAAGGATATGGAGTGGCCACTTTTGTAAGTGAAAAAAAAAAAAAGGCAAAACCCAGCATTTTCTTAAGGTTTTTTTGGTTTGTTTAATTTTTACTTTTTGGGTCACACCTGGCAATGCACAGGGGTTATTCCTGGCTCTGCACTTAGAAATTAGTCCTGGTGGTGGTCAGGGGACCATATGGGATGCTGGGAATCGAACCCGGGTCAGCCGCGTGCAAGGCAAATGTCCTACCCGCTGTGTGATCGCTCCACCCCCAGTTTCTTAAGTTTTTGCCTCATAGTTTTTTCCTCTTTTCATAGAGGGCCAGGCAGTGGCACAGGGATATCAAGTTATTTCCCCAGAGTCTCATCTAGTCCCTGTCTGAGGCAGGAATCCAGCCTGGCTCACCAGGCAGAGACTAAGGAGATTGTTTAAAGCCCAGGAGTAGCTTTTGCATTTACCAGAAGTCTCATATGGATGAGATACTAACTTCAAATGTGGGGGGGTGATGGTGGTGGGGGTCTCAGAACCCCACTTTCTATAGGTTGTCCTGCTGAATTTCCTACTGTCTCAGCTGTTCAGACTCGCCTTTGAAGGCCACCGAAACATCCGGGGAAGTGCAGGAGGTATTTCCTAAGGTGGAAGAGGATGCGTGGCCCAAAGAACCTCCCAGCTGCTGCTGTGATGGGAAAGGCACCTCTGATAGCTGTCCCCAGCGCTAACACTGTAGTCAGGGCAGCGTGTGGACTGGGCCTGGGGGCGGGGTGGCCCTTTGACAGTGCTCACCCAAGGGGTGCCTCAGTGCTTTGAAGGAGACGAAAGAAACGTCGGCAGGGCCACACCACTCCTGAAAACCCACATCCCCACACACCAAGCTCCGCCCAAAGACACGCAGGAGGGAAATGGAACATGTCCCCGGGGACATGGCGAGGCTGCGTCCCTGAGCCTCTCTTCTCCCCTCCTCTGTGAACTCTGGCTCAAGAATAAGAGACAAAACCTGCTTACCTGGGGCTTGCAAGGCCTCCCTCCTGCCGGCACCCTGATGGGGAGGGGGGCAGCGAGGGGCACCCGTCTACCTGGGACGTGCACAGGCAGTTGCTGCATGTGCTGGTGCTTTTGTATGAGGTTTGCTGGGTTCCATGTCTTGCCTTCATTTTTCCATTTTCTGATTCCACCCCCTACCTTTTATTTTTGTTTTGAGAGCACACTCAGCTGTGCTCAGCGGTTCCTCCTGGTTCCTTCTGGGCCGTGGAAACCTTTCCCTGCTGGCTCGTCATCAGCCGACCCTTCTCCTGGCACACGCAGAGCGTTAGGCCTTGGTGAGTCTGAGTGTGTACATGGGTGTGAGCTTGTGTGCACGCAGACACGTGTGGACAATCCTTGGTCCTAGTCTCGGGGCCTGGCAGCGCTCCTGGAACTGTCTGTGCCTTCTGCTTCCCAAGAGCCTGAACAGCACATGCCTAGCCTGGAGCAGCCCCCAGCAACAGCTGACCACCACTCAGGGCGGGCTCCTGTGCTCAGGAAAGATCTGTGGTCCTGGCTTCCTTGGCAGGTCAGGTGGAGGCAGGGGAGCACTTTTTTTTTCTTTTTGGGTCATACCCAGCGATGCACAGGGGTTACTCCTGGCTCATGCACTCAGGAATTATTCCTGGCAGTGCTTGGGGAACCATATGGGATGCTGGGAATCGAACCCGGGTCAGCTGCGTGCAAGGCAAACGCCCTACCTGCTGTGCTATCGCTCCATCCCCAGGGGAGCACATTTTGAGGGGTGGCTGGGGGTCTCTGGGTGACACTCAGTTCTCATGACTCGACCTGGGGGTGTTAGTGTCGTCAGGGCACTGCTGACTGGGGCTGAGAGACGCTGCCATCGGCAATGCTAACAGGACGAAGGGGTTGGCAGAGCCATCGGCGCGAGCACTCGTCTGTGTCAGGACATGGCTTTAATTCTCCTGCTAAACGCCGCGTCACCGAGGATAGAGAGGGTGTCTGCAGTGAGGCCACGTGTCTAATTTATCATCCGGAATCTTTGGCAAGATCTGCTCTATCCTTTATGATCCTCCCGGCTACGCTTCCTTGAGCTGCTAATTTCTTTCCCGTTCCTCCCAATTAGCCTGAGATTGATGGCGAGGCCAGCCAGCCCCTCTCTCCTTGGAGCACGTCCAAGCTCCCTCCTCCTGGAGAGGCAGGCATGCTGAGTCAGCACCAGGTTCCATCTGGGGAGGGCTGTGCCCCAGGTGAGCCTGGGGGTGGGGGAGGAGCTGAGTGAACTGAGAGCCAGGAGAGCTGCTTCTCTGTAGTTGGGACTGGGGTGAGCACGCACAGAGAATGTCCATTGGACAGGGCTGGAGAGACAGTGAGTGGGGCACGGGGGTGGGGGGTACTTGCCGGCCTGGGTTCCAGCATCCCATATGGTTCCCCTATCGCCATCAAAAGCAATTCCTGCACCAGGAAGTAACCCCTGAGCATTGCTGGGTGTGGCTCCAAGATGAGTCAACAAAAAGTATTGACCAGAGACCTCCCCAGTGATGGCTGTCCATCCAATCTTGTGAGGAAAGTGGTGTCCTGTGGATGCTCCTCCAGTGTCTTGGGTTGAGGGTGATGGCAGGCTAGGGACCAGGGCCACTCCAGAGTTCCCCTTACGGGAGTGGTGGGTCAAGGGTAAGAGTGATAGTATAGTGAGTAGGGGGCTTGCTTTGCACACAGCCGACCAGGTTCATTCCCGGGCACCTCGTGTGGTCCCGCGAGCCCCAGGAGGAGTGATCCCTGAGCACAGAATCAGGAATAAGCCCTGAGCATGGCCGGGTGTGGCCCCAACATCCAAAAATAGATAAATAGAAGGAGTGGGGGTGGGGGGTGGACCGTGCCAGGGGCTGTGGCCAGGCTTCCCTGACATGCCTCCTTCTCCCCAGGTGCCTACCTGGTGCCCTACCTGGTGCTGCTGATCATCATTGGCATCCCGCTCTTCTTCCTGGAGCTGGCCGTGGGCCAGAGGATCCGCCGCGGCAGCATCGGCGTGTGGCACTACGTGTGCCCGCGCCTGGGGGGCATCGGCTTCTCCAGCTGCATAGTGAGTGGGAGGCTGGTGGGGGACATGGGGGGTTAGGTTGGGGGGGCTACACCAGGGTCACAGCAGTGTGGCCAGTTCTGAACCCCGCACGGGGAGGGTGCCGGCAATGTGAGAATGATTCCTGCTGCACCGCAGGCCTGTGACGACTCCTGAATGAGGCTGGATGTGATATTCAGGATTGTCGCAAGGAGGAAAGTGGGGACAGACTCGGGGACCCAACCAGAGTTTGCTGGAAAAGTTTCCTCTTTCCTTGGCTCAAGGCTAATTTTGTTTGTAGGGCAAGTGGCTGCGAAGAGGCTCCCTGCACCCAGAGGCCTCCTTGTCATTTTTGCTGTTCCCTGAGGGGTGCTGAGGGGAGACAGGAGCTTATGGCCCACCTAGGAGTGGGGAGTCTTTGAAAACTGGGTGCCAGGGATACTCCAACCTGCATAGGACACACTGGGGGTGCTCTGGGCTTATTCAGAAGGGAGCAGCTGGCCGAATGTCTCGAGCACTAGGGCTACCCTCACACGGGGGATAAAAGCCCAATTCTGCTTCTGGCAGCCTCTGAGGCTTCCGAGGGGCCTGGCAGAATGGCGGTGCCCATGCACACAGTGGACCATGTCTCTGCTGAGCTGTGTCTGTGGGTCTCTGAGCGGGCAGCCCCTTGGCCTGAGAGCACCAAGCCAAGGAAGTGGGTGTCTTGCTCTGCTCCCCCGGAGAGGGCCTGTACCCTGGGTCCAGGTGAGCCTGAGGGGACCTGGGGCCTGCAGAGGGAGCCCCACCTTCATGTCAAACAGAGATGGCAAACTTTGCCTCGTGAGAGTGCAGAGAGACCCCAAGCACAGAGAGAATCCAAGCCCTCCTGCAAAAAATACGTGTGTGCTAAGGCCTGGTCTTATGCCGAGAATGAGGAATGGCTTCTCTGAAACCAGTGCTGAGGGAGGAGAGAGAGGAGTGTTGTGGGGGTGGCAAGGGGGCTGTTTTCTGTGCCTGCCCCTGAGTTTTGGGGCAGCTCTGCATCATAACCCCGAGTTGGGGAGAGGTGGGGGACGAGCTTCAAGCCTCTTAGAATTTCAGACCCAAAAGGCTGAACCTTGGCAGGGTCCATTGCTTAAAGGCGAGAATCTGAGTCTCTAGAACCTTCCTTCGTGGGTTCCCTAAACAGCAGAAGGAGGTGCAGGCAGCGCCCCTGCTCCTGAGTGTGCAGGCTGAGAGAGAGAGAGAGAAAGAGCACTTTGCCTGGTGGGCGGGGATGTCTGCCCCAACCCTGCCATGAACCTGCCCCCGGACACTGTGGTGGGGTCGAGGTGCCTGCCCCCCACCCTCCTGTGTACCCCGGCCCAGGTCTGCCTCTTTGTTGGACTCTACTACAACGTGATCATCGGCTGGAGCATCTTCTATTTCTTCAAGTCCTTCCAGTACCCACTGCCCTGGAGTGAATGTCCCGTGGTCCGGAACGGGACCACAGCAGGCAAGTAGAGGTCACCCACAAAACCCGAGGAACCTAAGAGGCCTGGACTCAGATTTCACTGACTTGCTGTGTGCCCTTGGCTGAGCCACCTCCACTATCTGGTCCCTGTTTCCCCTTCTGATGATCTCCAACCACCCCTTATCCCACTGGAGTTTATTGGGGGTTGTAGGAAACAGTGTGAGTAGCTCTGGAAATTGTGACCTATGCTTGGTTATTACCAAGTACCCCATTATTCTAACTCCCATTCAGAAACAACTTTTGGTTTGCGTCTACTACTGTAAATGGCTAGCTGGTGGAACCCACCTCACAGATGGGTTAACTGAGGCCCAAGTCACTTTCACCTAGTTATTGCATTGATTTGATCGAGGGTCTGGGATGAGAATCGGGGTCTCCAGCCCTCAATTCAGGGCCTTTCCCAAGGACCAGCCCCTCCATGATGGCTTCCCAGGCACAGAAGGGCTCAGAGTAACCCCAAATAAGAGAGGACAGTGCCCCCTGCCCTGCCCCCACTGTCTCATGTCCCACCTGCTGTCACAGTGGTGGAGGCCGAGTGTGAGAAGAGCTCGGCCACGACCTACTTCTGGTACCGTGAGGCCCTGGACATCTCCAACTCCATCTCTGAGAGCGGCGGCCTCAACTGGAAGATGACGCTGTGCCTCCTTGTGGCCTGGGCCATCGTGGGCATGGCCGTGGTCAAGGGCATCCAGTCTTCGGGGAAGGTGAGCAGAGACAGTAGAACGGGAAGCCAGGCACAGGGCTGGGCACTCTGGGGTGCCAGGCAGGGTCCCTTGGGTGGGTTCAGTGTCAGGATAGTTTGAGGACACACGAACCCCCAGAGGGCTGATGGGGATGTCCTCCACCCATAGCCCTGGGCCGGACCGGTCATCGCTTAATCCTGGTTGCTTCCACGCATGGGGGCTTAGGCCTGCTCCCGACCTTTAAGGAGAAGGGACAGCAGGATGGGCCCAGGATGTTCATCTACACCTGCACCCTCAGACCCCCTGGCAAAGGCTCGCCCCAGGAGTCTGCTGAAAGCCAGTGGCTCTCCGTGCCCCAATGGGGCTGGGAATGAGGGTCTCCAAGGGGTCTCCAGGGTGCAGAGCAGACAGGCCCCCATGCCTGTTCTCAGCAGTTCAGATCCCTATCAAAGAAGATCTGTAGCACATTCTCATTCTGGGGTCACCTGCCTCTCAACTCAGACGTGTAATTCCTTTCTTTTCTTTATGGGCTACCCTCAGCTCACTCCCTTCTGCAGAAGCCTCGTTTCTCAAAATACATAAATTAAAAAAAAATATTTTAATTTAAAAGAAAAAAAGCAAAGAAGGACGCTTTTCTAAAGACCAAAATTGTAGCTGACACTTCATTTCATGGTTTATTAGGTGCAGGCCCATGAATGAAGATATTTGATCCTTAACACCTGGTGAGCTAGGATCATGTACCCACCCATTTCACAGATGAGGACATGAAGTGATATCCAGGTTCAGTAAAGTAGCCTAGGTCTAGTAATTGCTAAGTGGTAGAGCTTGAGTTCATGTGGTCTAGTGGTCTGACTCTACACACACACACATACACACATATACACACATATACAGTCATACACATAGGAACACATGCACTAATACAGTCATACACAGAGGTACTCATACATCACACACATGCACTCATACACTATACAGTCACACACAGACACGCACATGCACTCATACATTCACACATGCTCACTCACACACACGTACTCATCATACACTCACATGTACTCATGTACTCATAACTCACACATGCATTTTTACACACTTGTACTCATATACACACAGAGAGAAACACTCACATATGCACTGGTACACACATGCACAGACTCATACATGGACTCACACACACACTCGTATGTCACACACTTGCACTCATACACACGCACACACTCATCTACACATACTCATAGTCACACAGACACACACATGCCCTCATACATTCACACACTTATACACATATATACTCATACAGTTACATACACATGTGCTCATACACTCACAGAGAAACACATTCACATAAGCGCTCAAACACACACATACACAGTCACACATGCACTCACACACTCGAACACTCACACATCTTTGCCTTTACCCTGACACATCTACCCAGGTCCTCTGGCTTGTGGGTGCAGTGAGCCCTGTGTGGGCGTCTGTGTGACCCTCTCTCTGGGCACTGGGGAGGGCAGTGGGCAGGGAGCTCTGGACAGGCAACCAGGACCTTCTGTCTCTGCCTGGGAGACGTATTGCAAGCCTCCTGATGCGTGTCAGTGCTCTAAGGATGGGCAGCCTCAGGGGGCTGCTGGAGTCAGGGGCAGTGAAGCCTGCCTGAGACATGAGAAGTGAGGCAGGGAGAGCCAGCCCGTGGGGGTGGGATGTCAGCTCTTGAAAGGGGCCAGGAAGCCCCAGGGCCCAGCCAGGCTGACTCCGGCTTGTCTGCACTCCTGCTTCTGCCTGGCCCCGCGCCAGCAGTGCGGTGGGTTTGGCCCAGCGCCCAGGGCTCTGCTTTCTGCTGCCATCAGAGGAGGCTCATGTGCCCCAGCTGTGAGGGGGGCTGTGGGGGGTGCCCGTGGCAGGAAGGGCGGGGCTGCTCACTGCCTCTGTCCTGCCCCTGCAGGTGATGTATTTCAGCTCCCTCTTCCCCTATGTGGTCCTGGCCTGCTTCCTAGTCCGTGGGCTGCTGCTGCGAGGGGCGGTGGACGGCATCCTGCATATGTTCACTCCCAAGGTAAGGAAGGGCCCTGGGCTCCTGAGCTCGGCGGGGCAGCACAGTCGGTATCGTGCCGCCTGGCTCACGGCGAGGAGCTGCTGTGTGTCCGGGCCTGGGCCCTGGGCCTGAGGAGAGGCCCAAATGGTCTATGTGGGAAGAATGAGATGCTCCAGGGATGGGCTTGAGTGCATAGGAAGAGCATTTCCTGAGCATGTGTAGGGCCCTGGGTTCCATTCCTGACCCTGAGAAAGAAAGAGAGAAAGAGAAAGGGACCGTAGCAGCACGGAGGGTGTCTGAATTGATCCCATTGAGCGGCAGGAGAGCAAGTTCAAGGGAGCCGCATGGGTACGCATGTGGGAAAGTGCTGAGCATGCAGGAAGCAAGGGTGGCAATCAGGTGTGGTTGGATTAGGGTGTGTGTGTGGGGGGTGTTCAGATATGTGTCTGTGTCAGCAGGGAGCTCCCCTGAGGAATGCCAGCTTTTGTACAAGTCTGGGGGGTGATCCTGTTTGATTTAAAATTAGTTGACCACATGGAGAGTGAGCTTAGTATCACTGACTCCAGCCATGTCCCATCTGCTTTTTTTTTTTTTTATAATTTATTTCTTTATTGAATCACTGTGGGAAAAGTTACAGAGCTTTCGGGTTTAGGTCTCAGTCATGTAAGTATCACACACATTTCCCTTTACCAATACTTATTTTTAACCGTGAACCCCAATAGAACCCCACCTCCCACCCCTCCCAATTCCTGTGAGGCAGATGAGTTCTAGTTAATACTCTATCTACTTTGACTAGATATATTGTTTCAATAGAAGATGCACAATTATTGTTTAGAGTTTACGACCCCCCCCCCCCCCAGTCAGATATGCTGAAACAGCGTTGTGAAATGATTTGCTTTCTACAGCTTGGTTTAAGGATAAAATGATGTCGTGCGGCCGCTATAGCGGCCACGCGGTTTTGGATTTCTGCTGTTTTACTTATTAACCCTGGAAGTATTTCTATTAAAAGTTAGATAGTTAAGAGATTGGTTTCTGTGCTCTGGAGTCGTGGCCGTGCCGGAGAGCCGCTCGTGGGGGGCAGCTGGTGACCTCGGTCGGGTGTGAAGGACGGCCCAGAACGCCCCCCTTCCCATGAGGCCCCTGCCGCCCCCCGCCCCTGGCTCAAACCTGCTGTCCACAAGGCTCCCGTGCGGCCGCCATCTTTCTTTCCAGAGAGGCATGTCCCATCTGCTTTAATCCAGCTACTACTCAGGGGGATGTGTGAGACCCCCAGTCGAGGGTGAGAATCCTGAAGGCAGACTCCCAAGTCTCTGAATATGAGAACCTCTGATCCTTCAGCCCACCGGGCACCTGCTCATCCGGTGAGGATTGAGAGACTCTCCAGGACAGAGTAGCAGCCCTTCTCTGTGCACCCAGAAGGCCTCAGTGGGGGCCACTCAGCGTGCCCTGGGTACCACCTTCCTGCACATCATCAGGATTCTGGCCCCCTGAGTGCTTTCCTCACAATTGTCTGTACTTTGGGGGGACAGGCTATGCCCTAGAGTTCCCAACTGTGGGGGTTTTCATAGGTCTGACCAAGGGGCTTGGCTTCCATAGAAATTCCTGAGGAATTCCTCCAGGAGCTCAGAATCAATTCATGAGACTAGCCGCCTTTCCCTTCCACACAAAGATGTCCCCCTTTTGATTCTGACACCTTTGAAGTGTTTAATTAGGAAAGATTACAGGCATATATCAATGCACCATGAATGGTGTAATAAGCCTTAAAAAGTAAAATGTTTCAGATGCCATGAAAGTGCCTTATAGTCTACCTGACCCTTTCCCTTTCCTTCCCAAAGATAACCACTATCCTGAATTTGGGATTAATCTTACAATGATGCATTTTAAATAGTTATAATAATAATAAATTCACATTCATAAACAGTTGATAGCATTTGTGCACATCTGACAACTTTTCATGAAATGACATCATTTAAAATGCACCTTCTATTTTCTGAGATTTACTTATATTGATCTAGGACATCCATTTTTCCTGCTATGTAGTATTCCACAGCAGGAAAGGGCAGAAATGTATTTATCCATTTATCTACTTGCTGACCATTTGTTTCCCATGTCCACCATAGCTAATGATGCTATAATAAACATGATTGCCCAGGCTGTCCTGTGCATACATTCCTCTAGCCTTCAGGAGTGGGACTGCCATTCCAGAGGGGATGCTTCACTCCAGTTTTACTTGATTTGGCCAAACTGCTCTCCAGAGTGACTTCCTCTGTTCACACTTCCACCAGTTCTGTATGAGAGTTGCATTTCCTACATATTCCTTAATCTTCAACACTGTCCAGCACGGTGGAGGCGAAGCCGTTGGACAGTGCCTTTCTCAGGATATCCTGGGACAGCATGACTCCTCTTGAGCATTTGCAGAGTCCAGAGTAGCCCTGGGATGAAGTTTCAAGGAATCTCACCCAGAAATGCCTGCAGGACCAACTCTAAGGTCATCTGGCCCTTGACTTTCAGATCCCCACTGAGTCTGTGGGTCCCATCTTGAGACCCGGAGCACTGTGCAATTCTCTGATGGTAGCTCTTGCCCTTGGCCTTGGAGGGAGGTGTGAGGAGAGCAAGGGGAGGCTTGAGGACCTCAGAATACAGCCTTTTTTAGGCTGTGCCTCCTGGGTTAAGAGTTTGCAAAGAAGGAAGGAGACGCTCAGACACAGCGTGGTCTCTGACACACTTCCGACACCTGGAAGGGGAGACAGCAGGACTCCTGTGGGCATTTCAGGTCCTTGTCAGAGCATAGCGCTATGGGGTGCCAGGACCCCAGCACAGGTGACTGACTTTCCCAGGGGGTGTGACAGAGTTCAAAAAGAGTTTTGTCCAAGGCATCTCAGAATCCACCAACATAGCCATGGATCTGGGCGGTGACCTGGTAGGAGCTCCCGCCTTTCAAATCTTCCAGCATGAGGAACAGCACAAGCCATGGGATGTTCAAGTGAGGACTTGATGTGAGGGACACAGCATGGCCAGGCCACAATCTCCAGCATCACCAACAGGACAGTGCCACGTGCTAATGGTTAACAGATGTTCAGTTTGTTTAGTGCTTTGGGACCCTGCTCTTGTGATGAAAACACAAAACCAAGATGGTATAAAGTTATCATGGATTATGAGAAGCCTTGGCCAAAACTCATTTTGGACTCTGTCGTGGCTGCCTGCCAGCATGGCCCCTGGGAAAGCCAGTCACCTGTGCAAGGGCCCTGCATCCCATAGCACTGTGTTCTGACAAGGGCCTGTCTTACTCAATACAGATTAACATTCTTCTTTTCTTTCTTTCTTTCTTTCTTTCTTTCTTCTTTCTTTTTATCTTTCTTTCTTTGTCACACCCAGTGATGCTCAGGGGTTACTCCTGGCTCTACACTCAGGAATCACTCTTGGCAGTGCTCAGGGGATCATCTAGGATGCTGGGGATTGAACCTGGGTCAGCTGCATGCGAGGCAAACACCCTCCCCACTGTACTATTTATCATAGATTTTCTAACTACCCATATTTCCAGAAAATGTTTCTAAAATTGCCATCATTCATGTCCTTTGGTTCGGCATTTCCACTTCTAGGTAATCATCTTACAATGTACTCACCCACAAACTGAACAATTTGTGCACAGTTTGGGTCATTTTATATTCTGTTTTAATAGCGACAGATGAAAAATAGCCCAGATGAATGTCACTCTTCACCTGACAGAGGTTCCCTGCTGCCTGTTTCGTTCTGGGGACTGTGGGTCCTGGGCCCCGGAGATAGCAAAGTGGACAATTATCCTGATCCTATAGATTCGAGTGGAGGAAGCTAGATGGTATTGTTCGTAGGTGTCCGGGAATAGCCAAGCCGAGAAGGAGGGTTCAGCCACGGGAGAACATGCCCAGGGAAGGGTGGCAGTGATGGTGACATCGGCATAAGGACTTGACAGTGGCAAGGAGCAGGCCACGTGGTGGATGGAGACAGCGCATTCCACTCCAGCAGAGGGAACTAGAAACATGAAGATCTGGGATGATCCTAAGACGGAGCATTTGGATCGGGAGGGCACAGAGGCAGAATATGCAATCACAGGGACCCTCATAGACTAGAGATTCTCTTTGGGTGCAGTCAGAGTTCCCAGAGAGTTCTAAACAGGAATCTTCAGGCCCACTCCATCTGGGCTGCTAGGGAGCATCGGCAGGACACGCACAGAGCAGGGAGGCCTGTTCCCAGGCCCCTGAATGTCCAAGGTGAGGGAGTGACCAGATCCCCCTGATGCCAGCAGGAGAGCTGAGAGTTGGGAGCCTGAGTATCTGTGTGGAATTAAAGTCAGCAGGATTTGCCCCTGCATGGGATGTGAGGCTTGAGAGAAACAGAGGGTCCTGGTTGGCCCCAAGTTCTTCTACTGAACCTCTGGAAGGGGCGGGGGAGGGCTGATACTTCTGGAGAGGAAATTTCCAGAGGGTGAGGGAGGTGGCAGAGAGCCCCTTGGGATGGGGGATGGTGATCATTGGAGAGGATTGTTTTGTACACAGCGGGTGAAAGTGTCTCATAGATACCCTTGGATGGTCCATGAGTCTGGGGGTCCTTGGAGGCATCCAGGGGGTAGCTGGGAAGAGTTGAAAACTGGACTGGGTTTGAATGATCACTTGGAGAGAGGAGGACTGAGTGGTTGGTTGCGTGGGGTGGGGGGTGGTCAACCTGCGGTGGGTGGGGGGTGTGTGGGGGAGGTGAGGGAGGAGAGAGGAGGAGAGAGGAGGACACGCTTTAGGAAAGAGGCAGCCAGCTGTGCCAGGTGTGAGGGCTGGGGAATGACTGAGGCACCTGGCAACACGAATTTGGCAACTGTCCATGTGGGTGGCAATGTTGAATCCTGAAGGAATTAAGGGGAAGCAGCGGTTGAGGAGTTGGAGCTAAGTCATGGGGACCATTTCCTTTTGGGAATTTGGGGGCTCGGGACCATGGTTGTGGGTGCTCAGAGGCTGATCCTGGCTCTGTGCTTAGGAGTGACCCTTGACGGTGTT